TATACAGGGTTGTAAGCATTGATGTGATCTATATTAGAAATTACACAGACTGAGAAGGGTGAGTTGGGGTGCATAGGATCAAAGTACATTGTATACATGTATAAGATTGTCAAAGAATAAGTAAAAGATATTTTTTAAAGAAATTAGACAGGAGGTGGTAGCATATGCCTTTAATCCCAGCATTTGGGAAGCAGAAGCAGACAAATCTCTGAGGTCGAAGCCAGCCTGGTCTACATAGTGAGTTCCAGGACAGCCAGGACCACACAGAGAAACCCCGTCTTGAAAAACCAAGAAAAAAGAAAAGAAAAGAAATAAATAAATTAGAAACTGTTTTGTGGGGACTAAGCTATAGACAAGAAGAAAATCAATCTCAGACCTTTTGAAGGTGTGATTCAGGGAGAGAGGCTGGAGTGATAGTTCAGTGATTAAGAGAACTTGCTGTTTTTACAAAGGACCTGGGTTAAGTTCCCAGCACCCACATGAAAGTTTACAACCACCCATAACTCCAGTTCCAGTACCCACATGGACACCAGGCACTGCACACTGTGGATGCACTTATATGCAACCAGGTAGAACATTCATACACACAAACTAAAAATAAATAAATCTTAAACCAGATGGTGGTGGCTCATGCTTTTAATCCCAGCACTTGGCAGGCAGAAGCAGGTGGATCTGTGAGTTTGAGGACAGTCTCTCTCTCTCTCTCTCTCTCTCTCTCTCTCTCTCTCTCTCTCTCTCTCTCTCCCTCCCTCCAGGGTCTCACTCTGTAGCCCTGGCTGTCCTGGAACTCACTATGTAGACTAGGCTGGCCTCAAACTCACAGAGATCTGTTTGTGTCTGCCTCCAAAGTGCTGGCATTAAAGGCATGTGCCACCATGCCTAGCTAAGGGACCTTGTCTGGAAAAACAAACGAAGTAAATCTTTTTTTTTTTTTTTTTTAAAGTGACTGGCAGTAAAGAAGGCAAAAGCATAGATGTAGGACCTATTTTAGAAGGAAATCTAAGAGGACTTGCTGATATAGCTCAAAGTCTTATTTCATTTCATTTATTTGTTGGTTTTGTTTGGTTTTTTGTTGGTGGTGGTTTTGAGACGATGTAAATTTGTCTGTCTGTCTGGACTGGAAGTGGTTATGTAGACCATGCTGACCTTCAACGTAAGCAAAGAACTACTTCTGGGGCTGGAGAGATGGTACAGTGGTTAAGAGTATTGACTGTTCATACAAAGGACCCAGGTTCAATTTCTAGTACCTACATGGCAGCCTACAACTGTCTGTAACTCCACTTCCAGGGGATCTGACACCCTCACACAAACACACATGCCAACAAAACACTAATCAATGCACATGACCCCAACCATAAAATTATTCTTTTTGCTACTTCATAATGTAATTTTGCTACTATTATGAATTGTAATGTAAATATCGGATATCTGAAGTGCAACCCCCGTGAAAGGGTCGTTCTACTCCCTAGTTGAGAACTGCAATCCTAAATGCTGGGATTTCAGGCAGGCAACACCACACCAGGCCAGTTTTTTGGTTTTATGTATTTTGTGGCTTTTTTTTTTTTTTGCTTTGTTTTGTTTGGGGGTAAATATCACCTTATACCCCCTTTTTTATTTTTTGTTTTGTTTTGTTTTGGTTTTGGTTTTTCGAGACAGGGTTCCTCTATGAAAACCCTGACTGTCCTGGAACTCACTCTGTAGACCAGGCTGGCCTCAAACTCACAGAGGTCCGCCTGGCTCTGCCTCCCATAGTGCTGGGACTAAAGGCGTGTGCCACCACTGCCCGGCTACTTAGATCCCTTTTAGAAAAGGAAGGGAAAGCTGGGCGTGGTACAGCACTTCAGAGGCAGAAGCAGACCTGATCAGCCTTAGAGAGATTGGGGAAGAAGCCTCTGGGTGGGGACTGAACCAATTTAGCAACTTTGTCGCCCGCCCATTCGCGCAGGTGCATGTGGGATTGGCAGCCTGAGCGAGGGCGGAACTTCCGGAGGATAAGGCGGGCTCAGGGCGGTAGCCGTGGCGGAGTGGGCGGGCTGGTGACACGAGGGTGGGTTGGAAGGTGTAGACATGCAGGCAGCACACACAGGTTTAGGCCACACTGCCGAAGGCACCGATTCCCCGACCAGACGCTGCTGTCCCGGTGATGCAGGCACAGTGGCAGTTATTTCCAGTGGAGCTCATCCTGTTGCACGAGCACCGGAAGTCTCCGATTCGAGCAAAAGCGCCGTGCCTTTAACCCAAAGGCCGGGAATCCGACATCATAGATTGTATCCTACCGGACAGGAACAACTGGGCCACCTTCGGGATGCTTGAGGCGGGAAAAGGGGTAGTCTGGAGGCGGAGTGGGGGTAGGGGGCGGCGGGGAGAGCCATCAGGTGGAGGGGGGCAAGGGGACCCGCTGATTAAGGTATATTAACCACGGACGGTCTGGGCATGAGAAGAGAACAGGGGAGGGGGACTGGAGGGTGGAGGGAAATGAGCAGGAATTGCCCAAACAGTGTGGAAGATGTAGTTTGGGGAGCTTAGATCAGATGAGATCGTTTTAGAGGTCAAAGGAGGCAAATTTGATTCAAAATAGTGCCTTTCCTGAGTCTCCACCAGCGCCCTTACAGTGTCTTTCCCGACCTCTTTGGAGGCAGATATCGCCTGTGGGTCCCTAGCTCCTGATGCCGAACCACACCAAGGACTTTTGAGGAAGGAGCTTAAAGTGAGCGGCTGCGTGCTGGAGGTGTAAGTGCTGAAAGAGTCTGGCATGCTGGGTAGGTGACTGGGCTATTCTCCACCCAAGACTGCACTTCCTTAGAGATGGCACACAAGGGTAACTTCTTAGGGGAGGCTTGGTGCACTGGACCAGTATTTACCTACAGGATATATGGTACAGTAGGTGCTTGAGGGGAGGGAGATCAGGAAAAGGTAGGAGGCAGAAGTAAACAGATTTCTGTGAATTCAAGGCCAGTCAGGGCTACATCATGAGGTTCTCTCTCTTTTCAAAAGAAAAGGATAGGAATTACCATTTTGAACTTAATACTCTTTTTCCTTATTCTTAGACACTGGATCTCGGAAGACTCTCGCCTCCTCCGAATTTCCATCATGAACTTTCTTGACCAGCTTTCCCTAGTGGTGAACACCATACAACGCTTTGGGCCCCCAGTTTCTCGTTAAGCCTGGCTGGGAAAAGGGACTCAGGTCTGACCTTATGTCCATTTCCTCCTAAACAGTATAATTTTCCCTAGGAAAAAGATTCCAGAAATAGTAGCTGCTACTTAAATGTGGGGCCTAATATTTTTTTTGCCTGACTTGGTCCTCAGGCACTTGTTTAGTCTGGTGCTTAAATGTTTGTTGCTGAAGAAAGTAAAGCTGTGCTTCTAATCTGTATTTGAGTTTATTTCAGCCTCTAGATTTTCTTTGACTTTTTCCTTGTGTCAGAGGAGAGGCTCTGGAATTCAGGTATTTGTTAGTACAAGATCCTCCCAGATCCACCACTGCTTCCTTAACCCCCTCCCCAACTCTTTTTAAAAATAACCCATCAAGTCTAATTTGTGCTGTCCATGTACTCCTGGGTGTGGGGCCATCCACTGGAGCATGGTTGACCTATAAGAGGCCATACCCTTAAAGAAAACTGATTTTTCCCTCCCCTGTAGTGGGTAGCCATTCCAGCTTTGATCTGGAAGTTCCAACCCCCATTGAGGCTTCAGTAACTGTCACGCCTACAAGGCAGGGCCAAGGGAGGACCCTGAAGACCTGAGATCCGGATGCGCCAGCCCTCTTGGTTCCTGGACCCTGGACGCTGGAGGTAGACTGAGCAGAGTTCTCCAGAGAACACCGCTGGACTGCTGGACTGCACCACACCTTTCCCAGACCCTGTAAACTATCCCTTCACTTGCAAGTTACCCCACAAAATAAACCTCCCTTTTAACTACATGGAGTGGCCTTAATAATTTCACCAGTACTCCCCCAGAAGCCATCTACTGTTAATAGCTCCCCAGTTATAGGTGAACCTCTTCCCCTCAACACTAGACTGTTGACTAGCTCATCTTGTACAGGTGTTATGAGCTGCAAAACAAGGCATTCTTTAACCTCTAGGCCAAAACAAAAAAGAATCCCACAAGCCAGGTGTTGTTTTCATCTTGTTTTTTGATAGTTAATGTGGTCCATGCTGGCCTGGAGTTTAGTGTGTAGCTAAGGCTGTCCTTGAATTCCTGCTGCCACCTCCCAAGAACTAGGAGCAATCTACCCTGTTTTATTTTATTTTTCTCATGTGTATGTATATGCATGATCCAGTGTTTATGAGTGCACCTGTTGTATGTGTGGAGGCCTGAGATTAATGTTGAGAGTCTTTTTCAATCACTTTCCACTTTATTCAATAAGGCAGGGTTTTTCAGTTGAATCCAGAGCTTGTCTATATGACTAGTATGGCTATCCAGCTTGTCCCAGGATACCCTCATTGCTGCTTTCTGAATACTGTGATTACTATCTAAACTCTAGTCCTCAAGTTTGTGTGACAAAGCTTTTAACTACTGAGCCATCTCCTCAGTCCTAAGCTATCCTTTTTTTAATTGTACAGTAATCTTCACCCCATATGCAACATCTAACACGTGTTGGGAGTAATTCACACACAGGTAGGTCCTCTCCAATTATAGTCCAATGAGTTACCACATCTTCAGAATTTGGGGTACAAGTGAAGCCACTGAAAGTTTTTCTTTCGTGCATGACTGGTGCCTGAGGAGGCCAGAAGAGGGCATCAAATCTCCCAGAACTGGAGTTACAAACAGTTGTAAATCACTATGTGGGTACTGGGAATTGAACCTAGATTCTGTGGAAAAGCAACTGGTGCTCTTAACCACCCAGCCATCTCTCCAACCCCCACTGAAGAATTTTTTTAACACAGTGGGGACGTGTCTCTTATTTCTTAACAGCATCTCTTTGTCCCCAACTAATAATGTACTAAAAGGGGCAGGGCAGAAGCAAGAAGATGGGCATATCTGAGTAGAAACAGTATATGCAAGGAGAAGGAAGCAGATTTATTCAGTCTTGAAGCTAGAACCACCAGGATTGCCTAATGAACTACACATGGCCATGATCTTCCTCAAATCATCAGAAATTCTATAAGGAGTTATATTTCCTCCCACAGTCCAGCTCATCCATAGCCCAACAGGTCTACGTACTTGCCCCAAAGACAAAGACATGCACTGACCCCATTTCCCAACATTTAATTAGGAAAAACTTACAACAACAAAGAAAAACTCATGCAACAAAAGAAAAGTGGACTGGGGGATCTGGAACCATCAGACAGGACCAGATTCCTCAGAGGCAGGAGACACGAGAAACAGTAAGGCACTGCCACCTTGGCCCCTAGAGGTGGGCACATGATGGGGCAGCTGAGGCTGAGGGGGTTCAGGGCAAGTGCCTACAACACTGAGGAAGTTTGTCAGTAGGGACACAAGGAATGTCCCAGAGGCCCAGGCCCACATCAGGCCCAAGCACAACCTGGTTTTAGTTCTCTTAGAGACAACAGGCCCCATGAAAATGTGGTCTGACTCCTGAAACATCTGAAGAGGGACACTGGCCTGGCCAGGCCCAGCCAATCTGAGGGCAGCTTCAGATGTATTATCCAACCCCAAATGCCGCTGGTACTGAGGCTCTCTTAGGGCAAGTGGGGCCTTACAGGGCAAAGGTGAGATGCCAGAGGCTAAGTGAAGGCTGGCAATGTCACAAAGGAACCAGGACAGGAAGTAGGACCCAAATCAACCAAGGAGGCAGGTCTGTGAGGCTGGCAACATCCCATGGGGCATGTGTATTTACATATGAAAATTAAGGTGGGGTTAGGTTAATAAATAGGTGAGTAGGGTATACAGAGCTAGAAGGGCAAGAGCTCTCTTGACATGGAAACACAAGGGCAAGAGGGTGGGGGTATTGCTGCTGCTGGTGGGGAGAGCTCGGTCCTGTCACCCCCTCCCCCTGCAGGGCCCAAAGCAAGGCACTAATGAAGGGGGCCCAGGTGTGATGGGGGCATCTTGGCCTGGTAACCTCCCCAACAACACCAGATCTGGGTCTCAGCCCTGGAGACTCAGGCTAGAGCCAACTACTCCCCTGGCTGGGAGAATGGCTCAGAAGTGAGAAACCCCCTCCTCACCATCTCCCCACTCAGCTACTGCTGGACACCAGGCTGATGATCTGCTCCAGCTTCTGTCGAAGCTTGTGCTTCCGACAAGAGGCATCTCGGTCCAGCGATGTAAGGATCTAAGAGATGAGGATCCATTGGAGCAGACCCATGGCAGGGCTCCACTTCTGCACAAAGCCCTTGCTTCCCAGACGGGCTCTCCCCTCCCACAAGCTTCAGTCTCTGTGCCCAGCTCAAGCTCCAAACCTCTAATTTCTCAGCAAACTACCTACTTTTCCTTGACTCCTAATACCATCCCCAACTACAGAGCAATTTTCTATCATGGCTCATGTGTAGCCTCTAGAGAGTGGGCCATACTTGCTGTTATCGATTCCTGTTCCCTCCTGACCCAAACTCCAACATCTTCTTGGACAATCTGGCCATTCCATCCTCCTTGATCCATGAAGGGGTCTGGCTCAGGATACAGGGCTGACTCCACCAGCCACTTCTGGGAACCCTCCCAGTCCTCTGCTAGTTCCCTCTTTCTTCTTTGACCTATGAGGGGCTCAGAGTGCTGTGCTTGGCATGATCTCCCTTGGTGAGTTCCTTTTTTTTTTTTTCCGACAGTATTTCACTATCTATGACTGTCCTGGAACTCACTTTGTAGACCAGGCTGGTCTTGAATCACAGCAATCTATGTGTCTCTGCTGCCTAAGTGCTGGGACTAAAGATATGTGCCACCATGCCTGGTCAGGGCTTAATCTTTAGTGCACCTGTGCATGCATGCACATTTGTTTTTTGTCTGTGTACATGGGTGCATGTGGGTACACATGCATGTGTGTGGAGTCTAGAGGTCAATACCTGGTGTCTTTCTCTATCATTCTCTGCCTTTAAAAAATGTGTATGAGTGTTTTGCTTGCATGTATATCACATGTGTGCCTGATGCCCACAGAAGCTAAAGGAGGAGGATGGATTTCCTGGAACTGGAGCTAAAGGGCTGTGAGTTGCCATGTGGGTGCTGAGAATCAAACTTGGATCCTCTGGAAGAACAGCAAGTGCTCTTAACTGCTGAGTCATCTCTCCAGTCCATCCACCTTATTTTTGAGATAGAGCCTCTCACTGAACATAGAACTCATTGGCTAGACTGTGGGGATCTGCCTATCTCCTCTACCACTACCCCCAGTATAGGGGTTATAGACACACGCCACCACACCCAATATTTTTACATGGGTGCTTTGAATCCAAATTCAGGTCCTCATGCTTTCATAACAGATACTTGATCAACCAAGCCATTTCCCCATCCCCCTGGCTCAGGGCTTTAAATTCCACCTATAGTTTCCAAAAGTGTACTTCCATCCTAGACTTCCCCTGAATCTATACTCATATACCTTGTATACTTGTCATTTTAAGTCTAGTTAGCAGGAGACTAGTAATTGGGCTCAACCTTCCCAGTCTAACCCAATCAACTTTGCCACCATCCCTGCTACCTATCCCAAGATGCTTTATGTTCCCTCAGTACTTTAGCACTTTCTATGGATGACTTGAGTGGTTCTGAAGATTCTTAGTCTTTGTTCCCTGGGCCTCACAAAGCTGTTCCATCTACAGTCTTTCCTGTGGTTTATAGTATTACTGTGTTTATAGCAGTGAACTTCATCCTGTCAGCTGCTTAGGCTGAAGAAGCCCTGCAGTCATCCTTGATTCCAGCTTGTGGCCGACATCCAGTTACTCAGAAGAACATGAATCCAGGCCTCCACAGCCTTATGTGTTCCTCTGTTTGCTGGCATCTCCAACCACAAAAGCCATAGGCCCTGCTAATAGCTGGATGCACCTACCTCTGGCCCCACCCCACACACCTTGGCCCACCCCTTCTGATTTTCCAGCCTTATAACTTTTACCCAGTGGGAACTCTATACTCTAGCTGGTGGTTTCTCTCCTGTATTCCTTAAATCCCAGCATCTAGGGAAATTATTACCCATGTTGCCCTAGGCAAGGGGTAGAATGTACACAAGATACAAGATGGATTCTGTGTCCCATCTTGCTCAAATCCTTGTGGCACTCCTCAATCCATCAACCTCCCTGCCTTTCTTTGCCTTTAATTGCATCATCAGAACCATGCATGCAACTGGGGGTCTGGAAGGTGCATCAACCATACCTCCTGACGGTACTTGGTGACATAGAAGTAGAGCTCACTGAGTGCACTTAGGACATTGAAGTCATTGGCATGGAGGCGGGACTGTTCCACCAGATAGGCATCCATGTCCTGGTCACTGATTGATGCCATCTTTGCAATATCTCGGTAGTACCTGTAGAGACCCTGGGTGAGTCAATCATGTATATGTCACAAAAGCCAAAACTCATGTCATCAGTGTTTGGCCAGCCTCAGACCGGCTGTTTAGGCAGGCAGTTGCAGCCTACCACCATGCACATACAGCAGTCTCCCAGGGCCCACCTCTCCACCCAGCTCTTGTAATTAGGGATGTCCTTGGCATAGAGCAGCTTGTTGGAAGGGGAGTCCTTGCCCAGACGGTGCTCTGATGTAGAACAGGAGTCCATGAAGGTCTGGGCCACCACTGACAAACAGGCATCCGTGATGCTATTCTTGTGGATGTCAAACACAAACTGTGGGTTCTTGATCACATTCACCCAGAAACGCAGAGGTAAGCTGAACAGAGGGACATACACTTGAGACTTCCCAGTGGCCCTGTGTGCCCCTTTTTCCCCAATGCCTTCCTTCACACCTTGTTCCTGTCTGGCCAACTCATGTCTTCTCCTGACATAACAGGAAGGACACATTTAGGGTAAATGGCTTTTTCTTTAACTTTCTGCTGGACTCAGGCAATGAGAAGTGAGAATAGATGGCTTTCTGTCTTCAATCTCCACCCCTGAAGTTTCCACTGTCTCCACCTGTGCCAAGCCATCAATATCTCTACCTTGTGCAGGGCCCTGGAGAAAAATGGCCAATCGCAGTGCTAGACTAGCAATTCCCATCTGCACATCCCAGCAGTACCCACCTTCTCTATACTCTTATTCAGTTCTAGGCCAAGCCACTGTCCTATCCCTCCTGCCTGAAAGGCTATTCAACTCTCAGTCAACCTGCCTCCATGGGCCTTGGGGCTTGGCTAAGTCACTCTTCCTCCCACCCATCCTCAAAATGGCCAGCAGCAGCCAGGAACTGATAAGTACCAGTTGCTTTTCCAGGTGTGGCGCACATCAGGGTCACTGATCTGGCGCTGGTCAGCCTGTTCGTCCAGGAAGTCAAACATGTACTTGATGGCCAAGGGTAAGGCTGAGCCCCGGTGGGCTGTACTGAACACAGTTTCAAACAGGTCATCTACAAATTTCTGCAATGTGCCCTATGAATGACAGTAAGGCAACTATGTCAGGAAATACCCCAAATCTGACAGACAGGGGCAGAAAAGCTCAGTAAAGAACTCTGAAGAGCCAGCATTCCTAAAATGGACCTGCTCTTGACCTCAGGCCTAGAGGTCCTACTGCAAAGGCCCCGAGAAAGTGGCCCCTGCCTAGTAAGACCAGCTCATCTCATGGTTAAGTCTGGGCTAGAAAGTGTCTATGCAGATACCAAGGGAGCCTGGGGCAGGCCCACACCTTGGTGGCCAGCAGCCTTGTCAGATATATTTCTGAGACCATCTTGCTGCCACGGTCTCCCTCTCGGTGATCAGCATGGTCGTGGTTCTTCACCAGATGCCACAGCTTGGTGCCCGCCTCCTGGTCAGGTGTGAGCATAGGTGCTCGGGAACGGAGGCTATCCGGGCTGCTGGCAGCACGGAGCAAGCTCTCTAGGGCAGAGGACAGATGTGACCCTTAGGCCCCTACAGGTCCTGGCCATTACCCACCCTCTTGCTCCACTCTCCTCTAAGAGCCCAGGAGCCTTTCTGGAACCCATCTATTCTTGCCACCCCTCCCTACTGCGCTACAGAATTGGAGACCACTCAGGAGCCCAAAATAATGAAGGTCTTTCCAGTTAGGTCAAGATAGCTACTTGGGGCTTCCTAAGATGGCTTATATAGCCTTAATTAAAGGACACAGGGCCAGCAGAAGCCACCATGATGAGGATACCTACCGTATCGACTGAGTGAACGGGTGAAGGTGAAGGAGTTGGCCATGTTATAGGCAGATACTTGTTTGGGCACCAGTGCTACTAAGGAACCATCTGTTACCTGGAGGTCCACAGACAAAGAAGGGGCAGTACAGGAAGCCAAGGGGCTACCACCCATCCAGAATCTTCAATGTACATATGTATATGTACAACCAAGGCCTTATGAGGAGAGCTCATGAATATAGGGATAAGGGCTGGGAGCAGACCTGGCCACTGCTCCTAAGAAGCCCTGGGGGTGAGGGTGAGTAGGCTCCCAGTTCCTCACCTGGTAGTGGGCCAGTGAGTTGACCCTCTTCCAGTCATACTCTATCTTTGTAGTTACATCCTCATCTTGAAGGATGATTCGGGCCATGCGGCCCTGGCGCCATTCTGCAGGCCACAGTCAGCTCTTAGGGACATTTACAACACAAGGCCTTAGGCCCACTAAGGAACAGAGCTCAAGTATAGAGTGTGAGAGCCCCCTGGGAGGGAATGGAAGGTCAGAGGCTAGGAAAAAAGGGAGAGACCTTACCCAAGTCCATGTCCTCAGCTTTGGGGCGCTGAGAGTATGGGATACCCTTGTACACAGTATCCAACAGTTTGTCTTTAGCCTGGGTGATGCTGTCACAATTGAGAACCTTCACAGGGACCTGAGCACTGCCCTCACTCTCCGGACACACACAATGAAGAGTCTAGGAGTAAAGGAACCCCCAGCATTAATCCTGAGCAAGGTTCCTCCACCCCATCTCCTGCTTACATGGTCCCATGCTCACCAGGGTCTTGTAGTCGATCTGCTGCCGGATGAGCTTGTCCTCACTTAAGGAGTAGCGGGCCTCGCCTGTTATGGCATCAATGGGACCTTTCTCCATCTGTTGCTTGATGGCACAGTACAGCAGGAAAAGTGGCTCCCCGGCACACTCCTGCATCCAGGGTCATGGGCATAGCTGGCTGCCTGTCTGGCTTACCAATCAACTGTACCCACCCCTGAACATTCCTCCCCTGCTGCCCAGTCCCCCTAAGCACACCTTCAGGAACTTATGCAGCAGGAATGTGAACCAGTTGGTGAGCATCTTCTCAGCCACTGACTCTGTCCTGTGGCAAGAGATAGGTCCTAAGGCCCTGGCCTGGCTAGGGTGGTGCTTGAACAGATGGAGGGGCCTGAAATAGGAAATGGAGGAGTGGGCTGGGGGAAAGGCCAGGAAAGACAGTTACATACCTGCGCAATAGCAGCTTTGGGTGGTTCTTGCTCTCAAGGTTTTTCTCTATGAGGTCGGCCAGCAGTTGCTTCAGCAGTCCAGTGGCATAGTCAAGCCGACTCTGCAGGGCCACCATGGTAAGTGAGGCTACAGTGCCACGGTCACGCATGGAGAAGCTGCTCTGAGCCTCCAAAGTGTGGATGAAGGTGAGCAGGAAGGCACGGCTGTGCAGCAGCTGCCCAAATAGGCGCAGGGCCTTCTCCATGTTGGGGGGAGTCTGTGGGGACCAGAGAGTCTCAGAAGGTAGGTAGTGGTGGCTCTGGGGGAAAAAGAACATGGACAGGCGGCAGGGGGGCTCACATCCAGCTCCTTGAGCACTGGGTGGGCCTCAATGCCAGGGAAAAGCACACGCACAGCATAGGTCCGATAGTCCAAGAAGGGAATCTGCACACCATCCATGTGGTTTGTCAGTTCATTGATATCTGTCTGCAGCTCAGCAAAAGCTGGGGGAAAGTAGAGTGGAATGAGTTGAGCAAGAGGCAGGGAAGTCCCTCAACTCTCACATACTGTGGTACACTCCCGGCTTTAGGCACCTTCTTTGCACTCCAAGGCCACACGAGACTCCAGGTTGTCCATCTGTAGCTGGAGCCTCTTGAGTGTTCGGTCTGCATCTTGAGTCTTTCGCTTGTAGGCGACCAGCACAGCAGTGATGGCCAGCAACAAGAGCCCACCCCCTGCTGCCAGCCCCACTATAGCCGGTAAGGTCAGTGCCCGATCAGCAGTGATATGCAGGGTGCCCAACCAGAACTCCAGGCCACCCACCAGCACCTGTAAGGGCAGGCTCAAGGTGAACCAACTCCCATGTACACCCAAGGCTGCCCTGGTGGCCTCCCAAGCCTATACGCACCATGACAGGCTGCCGGCCTGTCTGGCTGGGGGAATCACACAGAAGTTGAGTATCTGAGACAGTTAGTGCACATGGCTGTCCTCCAATCAGTACTGTATAGTTGAGGCGGGAGCTGCCAGCTGCAGCAGGGATCAGGTTCTTGCCCTAGCAGTGGATAACCCACACAGAGATAGTCAAGCTCTCCAGCTCTCTGCTCCTCCCCTCCTTTCTACTCCCTACCCCTATCCAAGCACCTTCAATACAACATGTGAGCCAGGCTTGACATCTAGCACACCAGATGGCCCAAGTGGTTCAAAGCTGGGATCAGGGTAGTAGGTGAAGGAAGAACGGTTGAGGGAGCGGGCTGTCTGCACATGATCCAGCAAGAAGCCAAATTCATCAGGGTGCTCGCCTTGAGCCCGAGGCTGAGGACGCCCAAGGAAGATGCCAGGGGCCTTACATAGCATTGCAGTGTCATTGATCACCTGGCATGTCTATGGAGACAACAGCAATCACCTCAGTGCATGATGCCTTGAATAAGAAGCAAGGATGGGAGAGGGATGGGAAGCTGCTACTCACATTAGTAGTCTCAATACCACGGTACTTTGCCCGTACACGGGGTTCCTGCACCGTCAGCAGATGGGTTCCACTCACAGTGATGGCAGTACTTCCACTGCAGAGATGGGTAAAGATCTCAGGTTCCCTCCCCCATTCTGCCCTGAAGTTACCAAGATTTTTCTCAAAGCTCAGAGCCTCTAACTTTGGATCATTTAGCAGGTGCCAGACTCTATATGGGCAGGACAACTCTATGTCCCTATTGATGCGGGTTCAGGAATGATTTGATACCCCAAGGCCCCAGTAACATGTAAGGCCCCAAGAGAAACACTCGGAGCCCCAAATTAGTCCTCAACCCCATTCTCCTCAGAGTCTCACTTGATGATGCTCCAGGTGGGCTCAAGGTGTGTGACAGTGGGGTCCTGGGTGTAGGTATAGATGACTCCAGGGCTGGAGATGTTGGCATGGTCGATGGCAAGGGTGATAGGGGCCTGACTGGGGCCCAGAGTGGAGACAGGTGAGATACACACGATTGCCTCGGCATCTCTCCTACGTAAGTAAGCAGGTAGGCTTGAAACAGGTGGCCTGGCACCTTCAGCTACCCTGTCCCCACAGCCCTCCACATAATGCTCAACTCTAGACTGCTTGTGCTCAGGCCCACCTTACAAACTGGCACTCGCCATCTCTTACAATCACTGTGACCCTGCTGCCAGCATCCAGAGAAGTTCCAGAGATGGTGAGCCGAGAGCCCCCAGAAGCTGGGCCTCGAGTAGGACTCACACGGTCAAATGTTGGGGTCTAGGAAAGAAGCAGCCCTTGAGAGGAGATAGGAACTAGCCCCATCCAAGGGCTACTCCAAATTCCCCCAGATAGGGGAGGGAGAAGGCTTAAGGAAGGGGAAGGGACCAGTAAGCCACGTACCACAAAGCTGTAGAGCTGTTGGGACTGTGTGCGGAAGTCAGCCGAACAGTCACCTACACAGAGCTCAGCAGGCCCAGGTAGTGGGCTGGGCACCAGCGATTCTTCCATCTCACATACGATCCTAGGAGTCACAGAAAGTCAGGACCAGCTGTGGTACACAAGGACAGGGTACTTATATGACCACACTCACCTTTCAGCACTGACATATTCAGTAGGGATGGAGTTACAACGTACACCAGCTACTCGCAGGCCAACCTCACGGGAAGTGAGGCCCAGGTTCTCACCCACAATGGTGACCCGGGTACCACCCTCCTTGGGCCCTGTGAGTGGGTGGATCTGTAGAGCAGGATAAGAGGCAAAAAGATCAGGCCAGACTCATACATGTCCAGCAGGCAAGGTAGGACTAGTAGGTAAAGCTAACCTGGGTGATTCGGGGATGGCTGCATCGGGCACCCTTCTGGCTTGGGTGCATCCAGTTGCTCTTGGGAGCTGGGCAGTGAGCCCGCAGTTGGCACCTGTGCTCTGAGATGCACCAGCCACAGTTGAACCGGGGATCAGCCTTGAGGCAGAGGCCACAGCTAGGCCGCTGAGCCCAGCACTTGTAAAGAAGGGCTGCAGGCACAGGGGACTACTGATGGAGCAGACAGTGGCAGAGAAGCAGGGGGCTCTAGGGCCTCCAGACTTGCCCCCAGCATTGTCAACCCTATCCCAGGAACATGCTCCTTGGACCCATGTCATCCCTCACCTCGGAAGCTGGGAGGCTTATCAATGGGGAAATCTCCATCCCAGACCACAGAGAAATCCAGTTCGGTGTCACCAAACTCATCACCTTCATAAAAATACTAAAAAAATGGAACCACATGAACACAAATAAGATGAGCAAAATCCTTGCCCAACTTAGGAATCTCTGGTAAAAAAGACTAAGAAGGGCCTGCCAGGACCAACCAGAGGCTTCCAGATCAGTAAGCTGACCATACACCAAAAACAAAAAATAAAAACCAAACCAACAAAAAACCCAACTATCCCTGGCTAGTCCACCCTGGACCTCACCGAGGCATTCTGGCACTGTACACTGCTGCTATTAAAGCGCACTGCAGGTACCCGATGCTGCCGACCCTGTACACGAACCACACATTCATAATTTTTCTGGCCTGACTGAGGCTGTGGCAGGTTCTTAGCCCGCAGGGTTAGAGGCTGCATGACACCCACAGGGATCAAAAGGTCTCCTCGAGGCAGGATCTCAGGACAGCCCTGGGAAGAGAACAACTGTCAGAGGTATGCTGGGCTATCCACCTTTCTCCAGACCCAAGGAGATGGGAGAGCAAACAAAAAAAGTGAGAGGCCAGCCCCCAAGGAGCCCAGCCTTTTGCAGTGTACTGTACCACCTCACCTCAGGGCTGTGGACCCTGCCCTCCTGGAAGGAACACTCGTGTGGGTGGCTGGTACACACATGACGGTACTTACACCAGTGGCAGGGGTAAGGGCTGCCAACACAGGACATGCACCTGGAGAGGGAAGTGGCTTCAGAAATAACAGAGAAGGTCACACCACCCTGTTATCATCATCCTACAAAATGCACTGGGGAACAAATGAAGGGACAGGGAGAACCTGCATAAGCCACACAGTGCACATCAGGATTGATTGGACAGAAGTGGAGACAGAGCAGGAGGACCCAACAGCTCACCCCTGAAGCCCTAGAGACAACCTGCAAGTTTTATATATCCCAGAGCACCTATCTATCCCCAGGGCTAGGGACAGATTTTGGACCAGGTACTCACGACTGGAGGGCACTGCAGTTGTAGAAGACAAAGTCAACCCCAGCAAACTTCACACCAGTCTCCATGGAGAGCAGCTGCAGCCGCACAGTATGAGTGGCCCCTGCAGCAAGCCAGATAGCCATCACCAACTAGCCTGGTATCCTGCCCTACCCCACAACACCCAAAATAGCCTGAGTCCACTGACCATGCCCTCTGGTAAGTGTCTGGAGCTCCTGAAGGGATGGTGAAGGGCAACGCAGCTCTCCAGAGGGCAGCAGAACAGCCTCACTTTTAGTCACCTCCTCAAATGAACAACTCACACCCGCACTAAGGTCTGGCACATTGCGCATGGCTACCATCAGCTGGGGGAGGCAGAGGGCTCAGAGCAGGGGCAGGGTGTACCCCTACCTCATGAAGCATACATGGACCCAAGTACCCTCCATATTGCTTACCTGCACCCCGGGGGTTGTCACTGACACATTATTGGGCCGGACCCGCACCTGCACACATTTGTTCAGCTCCTCTGCAAAGCCATGTGGGGCAGAGGCACCTGGACAGACCCCTTCACGGCAGCACCTGCATGGGGACAGGCCAGAGCAGTCTTAGCACTGTCCCAGGAGGGCCCAGATGGGGGTGCAGAAGAGGCTGAGTGGGGCAGAGGACAGCATACCCAGCTCCTACTGCCAGGCAACAGTGTGCCTTGGCCTCATCCCCTGAGATCCAAGGGACGTCACTCAGGGTGGAAGTTCCGCTCATTAGCTGGAGAAAGTGGAGGGGAAGGGAGGGAGGGGAAGGCTCAAGGCTCAAAGCTCAAGGCTCAAGGCTGGGGGAAACTGGGCAGGTATAACAAGTGTGGCTGGCTCCTGTTCAGCTGGCAAGACCCTCCTAAATCTTTCTGTCTCCCAAGATAATGGCCCCAGGGAGCCCATTGCTGCCCCACATCCCTTACCCACTGCCCTCACCTGTGCTGTAGCACACACCAACCACAGTGTGGGTCCCCTGAGCCCAGGCATGCAGCGCAACTCAGATACTGCTCACAGGTCTCCACCGGGAGTTGGCTCACCTGGGGACAGCCACATCAGCACACAGCCCACCCCTGCCCCACCATCCACCACCACCCACCACGGGCCCACCTGCTTCTCACTCAGGAGGTAGATGTGCTGATGGTCAGGGCTAAAGAGCAGGTCTCGGAGTATGGGGCTGCCCTCCACTACAGAGACTGTCTCATACAGCTGGGCATCTTGAGAGCCATCGACCCGCACCTGAACCATAAGACCATGACAGAGAAATGACAGGCCAGCTTCACATTACCATAGCTCCCTGCACCCAGAGCATCCTCTTCAGCCAGGGACTTTCTAGACTGCAGCTGAGCTGAAGTCAGGCAGGACCTCTTTGAGCCTACACTCAGTTTGAAGGCCCATAGCTCCAATGGCCACAGCCTTAGGCTAAGGCAAAGGCTACCTTGGATTCAGCTAAAAAAAAAAAAAAAAAAAACACTGGTGAAGGTAGATGGCAGAGGTGCCACCCAAGGAGCAGGACTCAGCTCTTGGGGCCTAACCTGGAAAGTCATCATACCCTGTTCAGGGTTATCCACACTCATGTGCACATTCTGTTCCCCAGCCCTTCTTTCCGTGTGTGAAAAACACTCCCAATCCCATAAGACAAGGGTTCTAGGACCAACCTTCTTGAGATTACCACTGCGTGTACCGATGAAAACCACAGAGTGCTGGTGGTAGGTATAGGCAGCTACACTGGCCATGCCATCAGTGCTGTCAGCCAGCAGGGGTAGCCCCTCAATCACGTGTAGGCCACCCAATGGTTGATTCAACACTAACCCACAGAAGTTTCCATTGATCTGCATGGGCTGGTGACACAGGAGGGGTGAGTGAGAGTTCAAGATAGACAGATGCTATTAGATCTAATGTTCTGTAAAGCAGCAGAACCTGGAAGCCACTGCTCTCAAGACATGCCTGACAGTTTGCCCTAGGATCCCATGGGAAAATGGGACTGGGGATGGAAAGCAGGGAAAGAGAGGAGAAGCTTGGATCTACAAGACTTGATAGAGAGCAGGGAGCAAGCCGGGAATTAATATAGAGTCAGGAAAATGAAGGTAGCAATATACAAACAGGACACTGGCCAAGACATAAAAAGAGAGTAAGGCTCTCAAGAAAGGTAAAGCAGGAAAAGTGTCAGAACAAAAGTGTCACTCCCAGGACCATGCCAAGCCTGGGAGTGGACAGACAGCCACCCAGCAGAAGGGCAGAAAGGCACAGAGCTGTCATGTCTAGCACAGGGACAGCAGAGCAAGCAAAAGGCTCACGGTGTTGATGCATGGCAGCTCCTTATTCAGCAGCCAGGGCAGGGCCAGTGTGCCCTCCCCACGGTAGCATGATTGGATTCGGCGCCGGATGTGGGCATTGATGTTGCTGAGGGTGAAGAGGCAAAGAATGGTCTGCCGAGGTGGGCTGGCTCGGTTCTTCTGGCCCTGAGAGAAGATGGTGAAGAGGACATCCTCATCAGCTGGCACACCCAGAGCCTGAGCCAGTAGCAGGCCAGGCTTGGCCAGGTGGGCACTCTGCACCAAGCGGTACTCCACACCACGCCAGGAGCAGCCAATGGGAAACTCTACATAAGAGTAGAACTCTGAGTCTCCTGAACACATGCGCACGATCTTGGATGTGAAGAATTTCTCGCCTGCTGTATCCAGCAGCGTCTGCTGGGTGTCCAGCTGCAGTGTTAAGAAGTACACGAAGGAGGCACTGACAAAGCCATATATGTAGTAGATGTCAAAGGCAGGGTACAAGGAAAGTGTGTCTGAAGGGATCTTGATCTGAGAGGAGACAAACTCATCCTGGTACACCTGGAGAGTAGAGCAAAGTATGAGTATGGGATAAAGGCCTGCTCCCTACTCCACCTTGACTTCCCAACCCTGGTCTAACAATGTGGTCTTCCAAAGGCTTCCCCTGTGATCTCCCACATGCCCTGCCTGGACAATTACTGGGATCCATGCCACAGAGTGCAAGGTAACCTCAGTCTCTCTAGAGACAGGCTTTCTACAGGTGAATTCTACCCATTTTCCTGTCCTCAGCAGCTGGTCTACATCTCTGTGACAGTGATGGGTCACAAATTCCCCTCTCAAATCAAAGCTTTCCTTCCCAAGAAGCAGGGCCAGGACTGAGGGAGAGGAGTGAATAAGACCTGGACTCATAAGAAGCAGGGGAAAGAGGACAGAACAAACAGGCATGGCTCACCCACCAGACTGAACATATCTGCACTGTCTTCATCATCGATGAGCTTACGGGAACTCAAGGTGGGAAAGTATTCAGACTTGCCATCAACAGCAGTGCCCACAAACAGCTTGCTAGCCCCCTGGCCCTGTTCAACAATGACGCCAGCCATGGAGTCAGGCTCCTGGGCCCCTGACAGGTAGTGCTCCTTGCGATGATGGGGCTCACCCAACTTGAAGAGATCATCCAGACGCAGGAATTGGCAGATGCCCTGCCAGATGCTGCCACAAGCTACCAGACGACGGGCTGCATAGTCTATGAGGAGCAGCTTGTTCACATTGTCCACAGGCACCAGGCGGTGGGAGCATACACGCATGCTAGGGGGTGGGTAGCAACGAGCATTGTCCTCAATGGGCCCTGTGACATGAGCCCGTAACTCAGTCAGGTTTGGAGCCAGCTTGAAAACTCGGTTCACTGCACCTACAAACACCTCCCCAGTCACTCGGTGAACAGCCAGGTGAGTCAGTGTGGTATCTGTCACCACAAAGGTACGAAAGGGCCTGCTGCTACCCAGGCACCCTCCTATGGTGAAGAATAACAATGGGAGAAGGCAGACAGTGGGCATGACCGGCAGCTGTACCAGGAACAGGCCTGAGGAGAAACAGTAAGTGGGAGTCAGAAGCCCCAGGGTCAAGCTGCTCTCCCTCCCCCTGACCTGCCTGGCCCAGCGACCCTGACAGGCCAGGCTCCATGCCACAGAGGGGCAACTCATCCAACATGACAGAGCCCCAGATGGTGACTGAGGCTGGGAGAGGGGAGGGGCCTCTAATAGGGCAAATGAATGAGTAACAAGCACACGCAAGCTTGGAAGCCATCAATCATTCCCCACCCTGTACTGGAAAAAAAGCCAAGAGGCCTTGTCTCAACTGGGCCACACCCAAGGGGACAGCAGAGCCAGATGCTTGAAAAGATGGGGTGGGAGGCCATCCCAGAACTGGGACCCAAATATATACCAAATACATACCAAGGCTGAGAGCAGTTGATGGCACAGGAGAGCATTAACAGGGAAGCCTAGACCCCAAATACCCCTTGCCTGAGCTGGGGAAGGAGAAAAATAGGGAGAGAACAATCACAAGCTGGAGGTGGGGGATGCTTCTCTGTGAATGGCACTGCCAACAGGAGTCCTAGAGCAAAGCTCTGGAGAATAAAGGCCTGAGGCTGGTTTCAATGCCACCACTTCTCCAGCTCATGGCCTCAGGTGCTTTCTCCCGGAGGGCCTTGGCTGCCTATCCAGGAGTCTGCTGTCTGGCCTTTCTGCTGCAACACAAAGCCAAGACTCTCACCAAGACAGACGTAAGTCAAGCTTTAGTCAGATACAGGCAGACAGATGCTCTGCCAGGCCTGTGTGGCTCTCTCTGAAGATCCAGAGGTTAGTCAGAGAGGGGTAGGGGCAGAGGGGTCTAACCCACTTTTGAGAGTCCCAGAAGCCTTATATGTAGGAAGCAGCATCCCCAAATACAATTGAAGCCTTAGGGATATGGGGCAAGGCCTATATGGATAAGGACAGTGCTGGCACGTCACCCCCAGGCCACACCCAGCCAGCCCCAGGCTGCAAAGACAGCAGAGCAGTCTCTGCAGTCAGTGCTACCCTCACTGCCCAATTCCCAAGAAACACAGGAGGAACTCAGCATGGGGGGGGGGGGCACAGAAAAGAAAAAAGAAAACCAGCATTTGCTGGAACAGGGAGCAATTCCAGCTTGAAATTGCCAAATTTCAGCTCAAATCGGTTAGCTCTCTGGGGTTCTTTTGTCAGGTCTGCATCCCGGACCCCTCATGCAACAACCAGAGGAAGAATGGAAGGCGAAAGAGAAAAGCAGCTGCATCCTGCCCTCACCTCTTTTACACTCTACAGAAAGCCAATTTTAGAAACCTGCCAGGGACAGATTGGGAAGGAGACCTGGAAAGTCGTGATTTGCAGCACAAGACCCCACCCCAGCCCCCACCTCTAAGTGGCAACCTCAGGCATCACAGACGTACCCAGCCCCTCTGCTACAGCCCTGCCAGCAAAGAGCACGATAATGAGGAAAGCTCCATACAGATATGTGGGTCCACAGCCCGCTCTCCCACAATGCTCCTCACTGTGCTACCAACCCAGCCAGCCCTGCCCCCATCGGGGGCACTCCTGGGCAGACCCGTGGAGACCTTAGTCAATGCAGAGGCTACAGCAATGCTCAGAGCTGCTGCTCCTCCTCTACAAAACGGTCGTATCAGGCAATGGGGCTACAATCAATCGAGTTGGCTGTCTCTTCCTGCTCAGGGGACCTAGTGCCTGGTGAACCTCGAGAGGCAGGGACAGAGCCTGACCCCTGAAACCATCTGGACCCCTAGAATGTCTGAATCTCAGACATCCATCAGACTACTGGCACACGAGTTGTAAGGATGGCAGCCACCTACCTGTCCCTCCAACGCGGCTGACTCGGGGTGGCCACTCCTGGCCACGTGGATGTGCCCCCGTGCCCTACAGCAGCCCCACTCGCGTGGCCACGCAAACCCGCGCGCCGCGATAACTGCAACCGCCGTCGCCCACACACTGGGCTGGCCCGAGGCCGCCTGGGCCTTTTAAACCTGGACTGTACCACCACACTGGGAGGGGACTCCCAGGGAGGGTCCGGGGCCTGAGAGGCAGAGCGCATGGGAGTGAGGCCGCTGGTCCCTGAGGCCCGGGACTTTAGTGCACAGCACGAGCCGCCCATGGACTACTGGGGATCTCTTCCTGAGAAATTACCTCCTTCGCTCAATGGCTGAGTCCTAGGCGCTCGCCTCTCTACACTCCCAGCTCCTCTCTTGCTGCTTCCAGCAATCCTGGAATCCGCGCGCAGCCGCGCCACACCCCCTCGGTCCTGGAGAGCAAGCCAGCTCCTCCTCAGGGAGCCTTGGGCCACCTGCTGCGGTTGCAAGATTTTACTTGGACCAGCCTATCAAAAGCACACTAGCAAAGACTGTGCCCCAATTCAGAGCTCTTTCCCCAATGATCTATAAACTGGAAGGCTAATAATGAACAAATACCCAGCACAAAGCTTGGAGTACTGCAATTTATAGCCATTTTCACCTAGCTCCTTCCTCAACAAGCCACTCTGACCCTGAATCTGGGATTCTAATTCCCTTGTTTTCTTTTTCCTCTTTTTTTCCCCTTTCTTTCCCCTTTAATACAGTGTGACCTTGAACTGACCACCTTTCTGCCTCATCCTCCCAATATTGGAATTATTATGGGCTTGTGCCACCACAACTGGCTTTTTTTCCCACGTTGCCTCACACTGTGGCTCAGGCTGGCCTTGAACTTCCAGTGATCCTCCAGCTTCACAGTCCCATCTTCTGGAATTACAGGTGTTTGTCAACAGGTCCAGCTGTTCTTTTATTTATTTGTTTGTTTAGTGTGTGTGTGTGTGTGTGTGTGTGTGTGTGTGTGTGTGTGTGTGTATAAGCCTCATGTGTGCAGGGGCCCAAGAAGGCCAGCAGAGGGCATTAGAGCCTATGGAGCTGGAGTTAAAGGCGGTTGTGAGCCATTGGATGTGAGTGCTAGGAACGCTTTATTCAGACCTGCTGGGTAAAGCCACTAGGAAAAATGGGCTGCAACATCAGGTGTCTTCCTCAAGCATGTTCCACCTTATATATTGAGATAGAGTTTCTTATTTGAACAGAGAACTTGCCAATTCAGCTAGTCTAGCTAACTAACTTGCCCCAGGGATCCCATCTTTGCACTAGGATTCCAGTTGGGCTGCCATGTCTGACAGGCATTCCTGTGGATTCTGAAGATCCAAACTCCAGTCCTCACACTTTTACAGAGAGTGCTTTATGCACTGAGCAATCTCTCCATCCCATCTGGCCTTTCTTACTTATTTATTTATTCTTGTGTTTTTGTTTTGTCTTGTTTTGATAGAGGATCAACAAGGAACAGACAAAGTAATCTTGAAACTCCGTGAGGGGCCTCTCAGAGGCCACCATGGCAAATTCAGTTCAGGCCTTTCCTGACATCATAGAAGAAACCCCTTCTCAAAGGAATTAAATAACCAAATGCCTATTGTAATAAACCAGGCTGCTCAGGGTGATAGAACAGCTGTAGCACAGAGAAGAAAAAATTCAGGAGAAACCATAAAGCTAATTTTTTGGCAAACTTCTATAAATGAACAAAGACCAAAATTAAAAATACAAATAAATGACCTTCTCATGGAGGGTCTTGTACACAGAGGTGCGGATGTCACAATAATTGCACCAGAATCTGAGCATCCAAATTGGCCTCTTCAGGAGGTAAATGTTCAGCTGTTAGGGATTGGAACACTATCTCAAGTGAAACAGAGTACAAGATGGGTTGAATGTATAGGACCAGAAGGACAGAGATGAAAATTAAAGCCATATGTGGCTAATATAGCTATGAATCTATGGGGCTGTGATTTATTACAACAATGGAATACCCAGATTAACATTCCTCCAATATCAGAAACAAATCATAAACTAACACATGTTTCTGGGAAAAATATTAGAAGATATTATAAAGAACAGTCACTGACCATCCAGATTGTACAAGAACAGAGCACAACAACTGTTGATCTTTCAAAGACACCAACAGCTCTACGTTTAAAATGGTTAACAGACAAGCCTGTATGGGTTCAGCAATGGCCTTTAACAACAGAGAAACTGCAGGCCTTAGAAGAGCTGGTACAAGAGCAGTTAAATGCTCAGCATATTGAAGAATCAACCAGCCCTTGGAATTCTCCTGTATTTGTTATTAAAAAGAAATCTGGTAAATGGAGAATGGTAACAGACCTAAGACCAATTAACAAGATAATTTAGCCAATGGGCTCTCTACAATCTGGAATTCCTTTGCCTACTCTGTTACCTAAAGGATGGCCTTTTATAGTAATCAATTTAAAAGACTGTTTCTTCTCAATACCCTTACAAGAAAAAGACAGAGAAATATTTGCCTTCACGGTGCCTACTTATAATTCTCAGCCTGTTAAAAGATTTCAATGGAGGGTCCTCCCACAGGGAATGTGGAATAGCCCAACCCCATGCCAACATTTTGTACAACAGCCATTGGAAGTAATATGTAAACAATTTCCTAAATCTATACTTTACCATTAGATGGACAATATTTTACTAGCTGATTCAAATGCAGATACTTTAGAAAGAATGTTTGAAGAAGTAAAGAAAATTTTGCCTTGTTGGGGATTACAAATTGCTCCTGAAAAGATACAAAGAAGAGATTCTATTAATTATTTAGGATATAAAATAGGTTTACAAAAGTTAGACCCCAAGAGTTGCAAATTACAAGAGATCAATTACGGACTCTTAATGACTTTCAAAGATTATTCAGAGACATTTCCCATCTACAGACTATTGTTGGGGTAAAAAATGATGAACTGAGTAATTTGTTCAAAACCTTAGATACAAGGACTTAAATAGTTCAAGAGAATTATCAGTTGAAGCTGAGAGAGAATTGGCTTTGGTGGAAAAGAAAATACAGGATGCACATGTGGATCATGTGGATCCAAAGCTGGATTGCATTTTGGTTATTTTACCCTCTAAGCATTCTCCTACGGAATTTTAATGCAGAGGGGAGATATTATATTGGAATGGATATTTCCACCAAATAAACAGAGTAAAAAATTAAAACTTACGTGGAAAAGATCTCTGAGTTGATTTTAAAAGGAAAATTAAGACTTTGTCAATTAGCAGGAATAGACTCAGCAGAAATTGTAGTACCTTTAACTAAGGACGACATTGACAAATCATGGGCAGAAAGTGAACCTTGGCAAAGAGCTTGCAGTAACTTTTTTGGGAGAAATTAACAGCAAATATCCCAAAAGCAATAGAATTCAACTTATAAAGAGAGCTGATTGGATCCTGTCTCGCATTGTAGGGGAAACTACAATATCTGGAGTTCCTGCATTTTATACAGATGCAAACCAAAAAGAAAAGGCAAGTTACAAATCAGAAAATTTAAATAAAGTGGTTCAAAGTCCTTATAATTTGGTTCAAAAATCAGAATTATATGCTATTCTGGTGGTAATAATGGATTTTGCAGAACCTCTCAACATATTTACTGACTCTCAGTGTGCTGAAAGAGTGGTTTTACATATTGAAACAGCAGAATTTATCCTGATGAGTCAGAATTAACTTTGTTATTTATTCAGGAATAGGATACAATCAGGAATAGGAAGCATCACTTATATATAACTCACATCCAATCCCATACGGGTCTGCCAGGCCCTCTGGCACAAGGTAATGACAAGATTGATAAACTATTGATAGGAAATGTGCTGGAGGCCTCAGAATTTCATAAAATACGTCATGTCAATACTAAGGGTTTAAAAAAAGGATTTTTTCCATAACCTGGCAACAAGCCAAGGAAATTATAAGATAATGTCCTACTAGTTTTTTTGTTTTTGTTTTTGTTTTTTTTTTTTTTGGTTTTTCGAGACAGGGTTTCTCTGTGTAGCTTTGCGCCTTTCCTGGAACTCACTTGGTAGCCCAGGCTGGCCTCGAACTCACAGAGATCCGCCTGCCTCTGCCTCCCGAGTGCTGGGATTAAAGGCATGCGCCACCACCGCCCGGCTAGTTCTTTTTACAATCAAACTCCACTACCAGGAGGATGTAACCCAAAGGGTACTCAGAGGAATGAAATCTGGCAGATGGATGTGTTTCACTTTGCAAAATTTGGAAAATTGAAATATGTGCATCACAATGTAGAAGTAACTGTCTTACTAAATAAGAAACACAGAGCCAATGCAAAGATGATGAAAGCTCAAGAGGTCAGAGCTAAGAGCCTTACCCTTCACTCTGCAACTATCCTCTTCAGCCAAGAGACCTACTTCCTGTGTGTTTGTCTTTATATAGACTTTCTGTTCTGCCTTCTCATTGGTTGTAAACCCAACCACATGACCTCCTCGTCACTGCCCATCTGTACAGACCTCCAGGTCTTCTATGGTTGGTATTGAGATTAAAGGCACACGTCTCCATGCTGGCTGCATCCTTGAACACACAGAGATCCACCTAGCTCTGCCTCCCAAGAGCTGGGATTAAAGGTGTGCACCACCAACGCCCAGCTCTGCTATGGCTTGCTATTAGCTCTGACCCCCAGGCAACTTTATTTATTAACATACAAATAAAATCACATTTCAGACAAATAAAATATCACCATACCACACCATTGATACCTATTCAGGATTTCTATGGGCAACTGCTCTGAGTTCAGAAAAGGCTGGTTCTGTAATCATGCATTTGCTAGAAGTTATTGCCATCATGGGTATACCTGCACAAGTTAAAACTGAAAATGCTCCAGCATGTCTCTGTTAAAATGAAACAGTTTTTTGCTTATTACAATATAAAGCATATTACAAGCATACCACACAATCTTACAGGCCAAGTAGTCATAGAAAGATCAAATCAAACTCTAAAGGATATGCTAAATAAACAGAAAGGGGTAACAAAAACTCCCAGAAATAGATTACATAATGCTCTATTAACTTTGAATTTTCTCAATGCCAATGAGAAAGGAACAACAGCTGCAGAGAGACATTGGATAATAGAAAAACTACAGAATTAAATCAGCCTATATACTTTAAAGATGTGCTGACCTCAGAATGGAAACCAGGATATGTGTTACGTTGGGGATGAGGTTTTGCTTTTGTTTCTACAGGAGAAGATAAGCTTGGGTACCATCAAAATTGATAAAGGTTTGATTTGAACAAGAGAGACCTCTTAATTAGTAGAAGGTGATAGTTCATCAACCAGCATGACCATCCAATTTAAACTAACTTATACCATTAACACATGCCTTTTCATTTAATCAGATATAACTTGCCAAAAGGGAACCTCCCCTAAGTTAGGGTTGGGGAAAGGCTTTTGTTTTTGTCTTTCATGAGAATGAAGGATAAGGAATCTGAAGAACACTGGACAAATGAGACATCTGAAGAAAAAGGACAAATCACCCAGAAAAAAAAATGTCCCAAGAAAAAGAGTAAATTGGCCTATTGGTATCTCATATATCTAACAGGATAAAATTCCATAAATCTTCCTAAATGTTTGTTTCTGCTCTTCTCTACAGACACATAACACAAATGGTCTTTTTGTAGTCCCATTTCAATTAAAAATTAAAGCACGCTTTGAAGTTGGAGCATGGCTCTCTCCTTCTCTAAACCCAAGCATGCTTGTTAAAAGGAAAATCCAAAATCTCTGTATCATTTCAGAAGATCTACTTGATATGGGACAGAAGACAAACAAAATTAAGGGACTATTCTATTGCCACTAATCTCAATTCTTTGGTTCTATTTTGATTCTTTAAAACTTTTCTTAAGGTATCAATTTTATATCAAAATTTATAAGATTTATATATATATTTAAACTTTTGTCATGATATTAATGATCATATATAGTACTAACTAATTCTAGAAAAAAAGGCTTCATCTAGTGTAGCATGAATCTTAAAAGTTCTTATTAATAAAAACAAACCTGAAGCCAGGTATTGGGGTGAACGCTGGAAGATCAGAGAAGCAGAACAAGCCACAGCTACCTCACCTTGCCCATTCCTCAGCTGATCCTGTTTCCTCAGACTGGAAGCCTCTGAGTCCTCATCCAAATGGATCTCAGCTGAACTGCTTCTCAGAAGCCTGAAATCTTAACCAGCTAAAAGCTTCTAGTTTCTGGTTTTCACGCCTCATATACCTTTCTGCCATCACTCCCTGGGATTAAAGGCGTGAGTCACCATGCTTGGCTGTATCCTTGAACACACAGAGATTCTGGTAGATCTCTGTCTCTGGAATGCTAGGATTAAAGGCATGAGTGCCACCATTTTCTAGCCTCTGTATCTAGTGTCTGTTCTGTTCTCTGACCCCAGATAAGTTTATTAGGGTGCACAATATTTTGGGGAACACAATACCACCACATCTAGCTGCCTGTACATGTTTTCATGTTTGAGTCTCTATCATTCTTCTGCAGGGAATCATGACCAGGCCTAACAGCAAATTTGAAGTCTCCAAAAACAAGATGGGGCACCACAAGGATGATTCCACATGGACGATAATAATTCCACTAAATTAACAAACATCACCCAAAGATCAGCTTTCGACTACAAACTGCTCAGGACAATTTCGAGATGGCTAGCTGAGATGATCCAGCCTCACTGACTACTACTTGAGTAAGGACTTGAGAAAAGCCCTCCATTTTCACATTATGCAGAGAGATTGGACAACAAATGATACAGCTACCTCTCCCAGGACTTGACAATTAACCCAAAATTTTTTCTTTCAGGATCCTCTAAAGATGCCTTTGCCCTCAGACAGCAGGAAGTAATTTTAAGAAAACCACACCCACATTCCCAAGAGGTGGGGTGGGTGGTTTTTGGTCTTCAATGGGTTTTGGATAATTGTCATTGTTTAGGATGGTTGGTTACAAGTTGTTACTTGTTAATGGTTAGGAAAAAAGTTAAAGGAAATTAGATTCAGGGTTCTTGTTTGAAAGAAAAAGAGGATATAGATAAGAGGTAGCTTATTGAATCTACTCTGAAAAGAAAAAAGGAAGGATATAGATATGATAAGATAAAAAGGTAGATTATTGAATCTACTTTTAGAAGGCAGCTACTAGTTTTAAATATTTTACACTGGATTGGATTTTTGAATATTGTATACAAATTATATATGTTGGGCTGGAGAAATGGCTCAGTGTTTAAGAGCACTGACTGCTATTCCAAAGGTCCCAGATTCAATTCCCAGCACCTACATGGCAGCTTACAACTGTCTGCAACTCTAGTTCCAGGGCACCAGACACATATGGCAAAGCACCAATACACACAAAATAAAAATAAACAAAAAAACAAATTATGTACATTGATAAAATTTGAGAATAATTTTGTTAGAATATATTGTACATATATTTCTAATCTTGTTCAAGGTATTGTACCTATACAGTTCATTTAACAATGTAATGCAATTTGCTAATCCTTGAAAGTTATTCTTACCAACTAATTCAAATATAAAGAAATGAAAGTTAGTAGTTAATTATTGCAATCGAACTTATAGTCATATTAGGTATGTTTTCAAGGTCAAGCAGAGAAATATTTTAGATATACAGGTCATCTTCAAACACTTCAGAGATCTGTAGAATATGACATTTAAGGTGTTTTAATAACATAGATTTTTTTCTTTTTTTTATGACAATGAGACATGTCTACTCCTGGCAGAACCAATCTACTTCAGAGACGATGGGCATTGAAGAAACTCCACATGAAGTTTACTTTCATTGCATCAAAAGTTAGCCACTGGGCAAGAAAGTGCCCTTACATCGACTGCTAACAGTATGCTGTCCAAAATGGACAAGCAGGACACAAAACAAAGAACTGCCGATCCTTGCCAAGACAAGGTAGGAAGGTTATTTAGAAAATCCTGCTTTACAGAGGAGCCTGTCAGATATGCTAAGCCTGTAGGCCAAAGATGGTGTCCCAATGTTGCAGAGAAACCTCGGGTGACTCTCCAGGCAGCTGGCTGTTTCTGTCATAACTCACATTTTTTTTTTTCAGAAGTCCCTTGTTTGCACTCCCTGTTTTATTAGGTAATATTATTTCCTTCTCAGGTCTCTGAGGGAGTTGAAGATTAGATAGTTATACTTTTCCTTGTTAAGAAGTTCAGAAAAAGCCAGGCGGTGGTGGTGCACACCTTTAATCCCAGCACTCGGGAGGCTGAGCCAGACAGATCTGTGTGAGTTCAAGGCCAGTCCGGTCTACAGAGCAAGATCTAGGACAGGCACCAACCAAAACTACACATAGAAACCCTGTCTTGAAAAAAAAAAGAAGTTCAGAAAAGAAACTCACTAAAGAGGTGTAAAGTGTATAAGTTTGAAAGACATCAAAAGATAGTTTGGGTAATGCAAATTAGGATAGAAAGTGAATTAGATACATCCTTTGGATTCACAAAAATAGATAATGGAATATTTTCTCTGAATTTGTCAAATGCAAATGGACTAGACATTGTTGATGTATTTATTGCTTGTATATATTGCATATAGTTATTGTACTTATTGTATATATTTTCCTTATAATTTTTTTATTTTTATTTTAGACAAAAAAGGGAAAATGTGGTGATATATTGTGTCTCCCAAAATATTGCGCAGCCTAGTAAAGCTTATCTGACATTCAGAGGAAAAAGCTAGCCACTATATTAAACATAGAAGTCAGGCAATGGTAGCACACACCTTTTATTCTAGTATTCAGGAGGCAGAGATCCATCTGGGTCTCTGTGATCCATCAAGGCCACACTGGGAACAGAGCCAGGTGTGGTGAAACATGCCTTTAATCCCAGCACTAGCCATAGAGGTCTGGAGGTC